TTTCATCTCGATGAATACGGCGGAACAGCGAACAATGCTGGCACGTCCCGTACACATCCACAATAACATGCACAATGTTCTACACAGTGACTATATCTTCAAGAACTTGTACGCATACAGAACAGATATATTGGACGCAATACACGAATGCATCCATACGTTGTCATCGAGAATGTCATGAACGGTTTGAACGCAGAAACTTTTGCCCAAACCGTCAAGCAATCTCAGATTATGCTATATATATAGCATATATGTACCACACCAATTCACACATAACGTCACAGTGCACGGAGAACGACTTTAGACAACAGGGTAATTACAATACAGTACAGTACGTATGCACACAATACAAATCACTCCCACTCAAGACACAACAAGGAAACGTGCATGAACCAAAATTAACAAAACAAGAAACACACCATAAGGTTAAATGCATATAGAGCACACCTAGAGATGATCAGTGCAAACAAAAAGAGGGAAAAGAGGGAAGACAAGACCCCGTACTTATTATAACTCTTGCTCACTGAACCACCTCACCAGCCCCCTCTCTCAAGCCTCGCCCCTCCTCTTTCTTCTCATCCCCTTTTTTTTCCCAACAAGTAGCCCTTTTCCCAGCCTTCCTCCAACCTTTCTCCCACACCTTTTCTCCAGCCCTACCTCAAAACCTTCTCCCAACGCTTCCACCAGCCCTTGCTCCAACCCTCCTCTTGCGGCTATACCGAGCCCTTACCCCAAAACCCCTTCCCATCCCTTCACGCAGCCTTATTCTAGCCATTCCTTTCCCACTCTCTCCATTTATCCGCTGCTCGTTTCTTTTATTTTCTAGCTGCTATCCACATATAGTCTGGATGAAAGGGCGAGAACAAACATAAAGAAGAGAAGGTATGTTGCAGCAATGCTTTAATGGTCACATATATATATGAGCTAAAAGCTAAAAGAGTGGCATGGTCATACATCAAACCAACACAAAACATGGTACTGGCAGCAAGTATGACACTAGCAACAAGCATGGCCTTAGTGCCAGCAAGCTTGCCTCAAGCTAGAGAAGTGCATGACAAAAGTTAGATGGCGGAGAAATGCGACAATGGTAGTAAATAAAAATAAAAATGAACGAGGATGCTGAAGTTTGGATCGAGGGTTTTATAATATACACATCCAAAACTGCCATCAAATGCACTTCTATACCGAAGGTTATGCCACTTACAATGGATGAACATTATGCATTGCGACGATGCACTTTCTGCACTGGGGTCGGCAGATTTGCTGGCGTGTTGCTCATCTGAAACGCTCTTTTGTAGTTGTTTGCTGTAGTGAATCCTTTTTGCCCCTCCTACAATACAAAAAAAAAAAAAAAAAACAAAAAACAAAAAAACCTAAGAGGTAATGTGAAAGACAAGAACAATAAACGACTTCATTGTATCATCCACAACTTCATAGGCCAAGTTTGTTTGTTTGCTTATTTTGGTTTTTTTTTTTTATATAGCTCACCTTGCCGAGGCTACGTGAAAGAGAAAGTATCATTCTTTCCATGCTTTTTTATGACGGTCTGACCCTTATCTGCATGTAAATTTAACAGTCACAACCAAATCCAATTGTGTTTTAACACGATGGTATATATGGGACGGCACTATAGTAACGCATGCCATGATGGTATGAAACCATGTGTAGCCGAGACAAAAAAGTTGCAGCTCGAGCTCAACACCTAAACAGACTTGCAACCAATGGAATAAAAGACTATAGCTCTAGCCCAAAAAGCTGTAGCTCCAGCCATACGTCCTATAGCCAGAGGCATATAATTGTAGCTCTAGCTCAATACCCCATAGCCAGAGGAAAAAAAAAACTGTAGCCTGAGGTAACGAAGCTGTAGCCCGGGCTGAACAAATTGTAGTCCGACCCAAAAAAACTGTAGTACGAGGTAAAAAAAACTGTAGTCCGCGCTAAAAAAACTGTTGTCTGAGCGAAAAAAACTAGAGTCTGAGCTAAAAAGGCTACAGTCTGAGCTAAAAAGGCTATAAAAAAGCTGTAACCCAAGCTAAGAAATCTGTAGTCCAAAGTAATAGACCACTAGTCCGATCAAAATAAGCTGTAGTCCGATCGAAAAGGGTGTAGTCCCAGCAACGAAAGGTATAGTAGCTCAGAAAAGTATAGTCGTAGATCGTGCTAAAAAAGCCATAGCCCGAGCTGAAAAACCTTTACTCCAATCTAAAACGCTGTCGTCCGATGTAATAAAACTTTAGCTCGAGCTAAAAGAACTGTAGTCCGGGCTAAAAATCACTTGTAGTAAGCTAAATATAAAGCTGTAGTACGAGCTTAGTCAGCTGTAGACCGAGCTAAGAAGCTGTAGTCGGATCGAAAAAAGTTGTAGTCCGAGCTTAGAAAGCTGTAGTCCGTGCTAAACAAGCTATAGTCCGAGCTAAACAAATTGTACTCCGAGCAAAACGGTTGTAGCCCGAGCAACATTCACAGCCAAACAACCAAGAAACCAAGACATACAAGCCAAAAACCCCCTATTCATTCACTTTTACAACCCAACCACAAGCATAGCCACGTTATGATCTCATCCATCCTAACCATTGAGGGTTGTACCTTGAAGTGCCACAGCCCCACCAATGTTCGTAACGTCTTGACCTTCTCATCATTCTTGGCGAAGACCTCGAGGTTGAAGGATGAGATGGCATTTTGGGCTGCCTCCATGGAGACGGTTGGTTTTACACCGGATCGGTTGAAATTGGCTTTTCATGCATTGAGAAAAAAAAACGACAAATAGGCAAAAAAACTCCCTTTTTTTTAAGCATGAAAGGTGATGGTTGTATATATCGCATGCTCTGTGCATACTCAAAAGAAAAGCACTTGCCTCAAACTCGCATACGCATACTTACACTCCAAGTTGGCAAATGAAACAGTGATCCTGTTGGTCTTCTCAACAGGTGTGGGGTTATGCTGCTCGCACCTGAAGCTGCCATCCGTGAGGTCATAGTGTGTAGGACGACCACAGTGTACATCACCAGTTGAAGAAATCGGTTGAATACACGCCCAGATTGTGTTGCGCCCGAGTTCTTGGATAGTGCCATCAAAACACATGGTAACTTCTTGTTGCGTTGCGATGACGTGATTCTCACTTTCTGTGGGTCTATTTATACAATCAGCATTCAGGTTGGAACACAAGGAAGAATAGAAAATATCATGAAAGAGATGTGTAAGGAAACTGTTGTATACAAATCAATATGATCTATATTAGGCATGGGATTAGACTACAAGTGAAAATACTGAAACATGGCAAACATAGACAAAGAAATCAATGTTCCAAGGTAGGAATAAGTACAAAACGAAATATTAGACGAACAAAAAAGTGAATGATTCTATTTGTAACAAACCTCAAAAAAATAGCTAGTTGGCACGTGCCGCGTTACAATGCCGACATCAATAGGTGGTGGAGACAGCTCGATACCCATCCTCGTGATTCGTCCTATAACATCCCCATCCAGAATCTCCAATACTCGAGTCCTACGGATGTTTTGTTGGGAGTGTAGTGTATGGGATAGTGATGATAAGCAAGATACTTCAGCTTATGCCATTTCAATAGCTGCAAACAACATGAGTAGTCTTCATTGTATACAAGCATTCGTATCTTTTTGTACTCACGGGCTGCGTCTCGCTTTGTAGGGCTCGGTTATCCACAGGAATACAGAAACTTCAGGATCAGCCACTTGCTGTCCTGCGTTGACTAATTGCAATATAGCTTCAGCCGTTGTGCCAAAAGCCGTCAGGCCGTTACCCACACCCTCAACTTCAGTCCGTCACTCCCACAGAGCTCTGGGCCACCCAAGCCTGACGCTGCTATTCTCCGCATCTGGGGTTGCAAGGCATATGTCCTAACTCCCCTCCCAACCGCTCTAGGCAGGCAAGGAAACTCGCCTCCAAGGCAAGGAAGATGTCTCCAAGGCATCTTGGGCATGCTTGCTCTTCCCCTGATTACCTCTTCCTTCACCCATCCTCAAGCCGCCTCCTCAAGAGCCATGACATAGTGTTCGATGAGAGCGTACCCCGGTCTATCACTCCCCTCCCCCCCCCGACCCCCTTCCCCCCCCCCTCCCGCCCCTTCACTTGGGCTGATGCTGTCATTCCCCCACTCCTTCCCCAGGCTCCCCTCCTTCCTCCTCCTCCCGCTCCACCCTCTCCTCCATCCTCTGGCGGCATTTACAACCCAGCGGTTCAGGACTCCCCAGCTCAATCTGCCTCCTCACATCAGCAGCAGCGGCAGCAGCAGCAGCGGGAAGAGGTGCAGTAGCAGCGGCCGGAGTAGCATCAACAGCCGCAGCATCACCAGGAGGTGCAGCAGCAAGAGTTGCAGCAGCAGCAATGGCCGAAAAAGCTGCAGCAGCAGCATAGGCATCACCTTACCACTTCTCCTTTCATCCCCCCACTAGCGCAGCTTTGTATGCAACATGCACGTACAACATTTTATAAATTGATATGACGGATTTACTTTAGCTAACTTATGTGTGAATCATCCATCAACAATATACATAATGCCGTTTCAATATTGTCACGCCGACGATACTATACATCCAACAATGGTTTATTTGTACCTAGCAATAACGGCAAAAAGCCACAATATAGCTCCAAGACGTGTCAGAATACTCTTCATGCTGCTTTTTCTGCTCTACGGAGATACAACAATACGCGTAAGCGCGTGCATGACTGCCGCCATGTCATCATAGCAAGGATACACTCCGTCGCCTCGTCAAGCTCCGCGTTTTGCTTTCCCTGCGAAACGACGGCATGCACACCTACGTTTGTATATGGATACAAAGCGCCTGGACGATGCCGCAATGATATCATTCGCGCAATGTTAACTGATGTGTAGCTCTACGCAAACGAAGTCTCCAATTTTCATGCAATGTTTTTAACTGGTATCCATATTGCATTGTGCTCTCTCTCTCTCTCTCTCTCTCTCTCTCTCTCTCTCTCTCTCTCTCTCTCTCTCTCTCTCTCTCTCTCTCTCTCTCTCTCTCTCTCTCTCTATCTATCTCTCTCTCTCTCTCTCTCTCTCTCTCTCTCTCTCTCTCTCTCTCTCTCTCTCTCTCTCTCTCTCTCTCTCTCTCTCTCTCTCTTTCTCTCTCTCTCTCTCTATCTCGATCTCTTTATCGATCTCTCTCTCTCTCTCTCTCTCTCTCTCTCTCTCTCTCTCTCTCTCTCTCTCTCTCTCTCTCTCTCTCTCTCTCTCTCTCTCTCTCTCTTTCTCTCTCTCTCTCTCTATCTCGATCTCTTTATCGATCTCTCTCTCTCTCTCTCTCTCTCTCTCTCTCTCTCTCTCTCTCTCTCTCTCTCTCTCTCTCTCTCTCTCTCTCTCTCTCTCTCTCTCTCTCTCTCTCTCTCCTCTCTCTCTCTCTCTCTCTCTCTCTCTCTCTCTCTCTCTCTCTCTCTCTCCGTTCCATGGGGCTATGTGCTCCTTGACCGGGTTTGCAGTCTATGGGGGTGTGTTAGAAGTAGATTGCAAATCCCACTTTTGTATTTGTACTTTTATATCCTAGTTTAGGTTAGGAATTTTGTAGTGGGTTGGGGTGTACTCACAAAATCCCAACCTCACCCAATTGTGATCCCCCCAATCTCCAATTACCCAATTGGAGATTCCGAAGATCCCAGTGGGGATTCCCTCCGATTCCACCTTCATCCATTCTCTTTCACCTTGCCATGTACATATAGAGCCTTTAAATCCTTACCTAATCAATCTTTTCAGCTCTATTTCGTACAATAGGTCACCTGCTCTAGGTGCAAATTCGTATTTGACCCTTACTGCAGCAGTTTGTTTTTCAAACTTGTAGCACTGTTTTCGTCAAAAGGTTCCTTGTCATTTTCCACAGCTGTCAGCAACAACCAAGTTGCAGGGTAGTGATTGTCTTTAGCGTGTTCTAGTTCGAAATCTAGGCTACTGTGTATGTTGCGCTTTGGTGCACCAAATCTTGACTCGACTACCATTTTACGAGGTCATTGATCGGCCAAAACAGGTCGTAACCTAAGAATAATTCTGATACAGAAGATGGAATATTATTGCGTGCTCGAATAACACGAGTGCGACAATGCAACTGTAGCATGAGCGTATACAATTAAAATATTATTTTTCGGAAATAAACAAAGGTACCAAAGGAAAAAAACAAAAAACAAAAAGAGCTCACAGAAGGAGTGAAACTTGTAGGGAGGAGTGGCGGACCAAGTGGAGATTAAATTTGTGGTGAAAGGAGTGATGACTGTCTTGAACAGAAGAAATAGGGCCTTTGTTACAAGATTGAACCGTGTCGAGAGAAAGTTGCACTATCGATCAGTACAAGGCACATTGATGCTTGCAGAGTGTTATGAGTAAATCCAGATGAAGTCAAGTAATGCAATAAGGTAGTCATGATTAACAATTGATGATAAGAATGACGCACACGAAAATATAGGCACGCCTAGGCTAGCTGTGAACCTTGGTTGGGCCACAAAACCGGACTCACAAGTGTCGAAGGCGACGTCACGTGTACGTGGGGGTCTCGAACGTAGTTCGGCACGTGAGTTCTCAGACCGAGCCTGGACTTCTGAAGTTCAGGGAATATGTGGTGTCGCGAGACTAAGAAAATAGAACTTCCTTACAGCTTACCCCCCTCCTAGGCGAGACTACCCAGATCTGGAGCAGATCATCTGCATAAATAGGCTTGTAACACTGTGTGGCTGTCGAGGGAAGATGTTTGGAGTCACGTGTTGTCACCACTCGAGCGGTCAACCCAGCGAACCAGAAAACTCAAGCAGCGTCAACCCTGGTGGAGCCAAAATTGGTTGGCGAGGATCAATCGTGGCTTGGTATTGGGCTCGGGGATCGGCCTGACCACGAGTATACTCATTGGCGGTCAAGGTCGGACATGTTAGTGACGAGTTTGCGGAGGTGGCTGATGTGGAAAGAATATGCCAGTCATTTGGTAGCAGTAACTTGGCTGTGACAGGTGTCACCATCTGAGTAACTCAGAAGGAAACACAGATAGTGGGCGGAGTTTTGGTGGCAAACTCATCCCTAAATGCTTGGTGTCGAGAAGTACTTGTTGCCCAGGAGATGGTAAATCCCATCTATTTGGGTGAGCACTACCTCGGGCAGTTAAGTTGGCCTTAGTAATGGCCTTAGTGGCTTTCTGTCAGTCTTGGACAAATTGTTGTGATCGTGGGGCAGGACTACCGACTAGTGGTGTAGCGGGGGAGTTGGGTGTCAACCAACATATATCTAGTTAGTTTAGAGGTGTTTGTTATAGCCTAGCTAGATCAGTTCTTAGAGGGGACAATATCCCCACCCCTCTTCCTAGTCACACTTTTTCCCGCTACTCTTACATGGTATTGAGCTAGGTTGGATATTTTTTTTCCGCCGTTACTCATGCTTCCGCCATACTCATGCTTCCGCCGTTACTGTAGCTTCTTTTTTTCCCGCGCTAGTGCAGCTCTCTCAATTTTCCGCTCCCCCTGCCCTCCAATTTCGCGTTGTGTAGAGTAGCCTCGTTGCCCTCCCCCTAGCGTTTGCGCTGTTTCATACGGCAGCCAGCAGGCTGGCGAGCTAGCCCGCCTGCTCGCCAGCACGCTAACTAGCACGCTCGCCAGCAGCACGCTAGCCGACGCGCCAGCCATCGCACCGACCAGCACGCTAGCCAGCACGCCCGCCAGCACTCTAGACAGAATGCTAGCCAGCACGCCAGCCAGCACGCCAGCCAACGCGCCCAACGCGACAGCCAGCTAGCTAGCCAGCGCGTTATCCAGCGCGTCGTCAGCAGTGCTAGACAGCTCGCTGCTACCAGCGCCAGCCAGCTAGCCGCCAGCAGCGTTCGCCAGCTCGCCGCCAGCACCTGCTGCCAGCTACTCATGAGCAGCGCCCACCAGCTCATCATTGGCTAGCTCGCTGTTGCACCAGCCACTGCCACTGCAGCCACAGACAGCCGCCGCCACTGCAGCCACAGCCAGCCGCCGGCACTGCTGCCACTGCTGCTGCCACTGCTGCCTGTGCCGCTGCTGCTGCCACCGCTACTGCTGCAGCTGCTCCTGCCACCACTGCCACTGCCGCAACCGCTGCAGTCACCACCACTGCCGCAGCCGCGGCTGCCACTGCAGCCACTGCCACTGCCACTGCTGCCCTTGCAGCTGCCACTGCAGCAGCTGCCCTTGCAGCACCACTTCCGCCGTTGCCCTTGCAGCCGCTGCTGCCGCCGCTGCCCTTGCAGCCACTACTGCCGCCGATACCCTTGCAGCTGCAGCTGCAGCTGCTGCCCTTGCAGCCGCCGCTGCCGCCGCTGCCCTTTGCAGCTGCCACTACCGCCGCTGCCCCTTGCAGTGCTGCTGCTGCCGCTGCCCTTACAGCCGTCTCAGCCACCGCTGCCCTTGCAGCTGCCGTGCTGCCTCCTGCAGCTGCCACTGCCGCTGCAGCCGCCGTTTCCGCCGTCTCTCTCCCGCTACAGCCGCAACTGCAACTGCGCTTGCTGCCAGTAGCCACTGCCACTGCAGCCACTGCTGCCACTACTGCCGTGGCTAGCCCATAGCCACGCAGCCGCCTTTGCTAGCCAGCTCGCAAAGCTGCTGCCGCTATCCAGCTCACTGCTTGCCCACCGCCGTCGCCACCCCGCTGCTAGCTAGCAGCCGCCGCTGCCACCGGCTCCCACGGCAGCCCCTTTCCCTGCTGCCCCTGTAGCAGCTGCCCCTGCCGTCCCTGCTTCTGCCACCTCTGTCTTCACGGCCGCAGCTGCCGGCATGGTGCCGCCCAGTGTCTTCGTTCTGCGCCTGGATGGGGAGGGGCGGGCAGTCGGTTTCTTCGCCTGGCCGGAGGCAATTCTCCTACAGCTCATGAGTCAACGCGTCGACGACGAGTCCCTGGACGCCCACATCTCTGGTGAGCTCCCTGCTGTCCCCCACCTGGGCACTCTTGCTGCTGACGTGATGTCTGCGCAGCAGGCTGTGCGCGCTGCTGCCCATACTGCCTACTCTGTGTGGGCGTCCCGCGACGCCAATGCTCCTGTCGCCGTCCTCAGGTGCCTGCCAGTTGATGAGCACTCCCACTTTCTGGGTGCTGCGTCAGCCCGCACCTTCTGGCTGGCTATCCTTGCTAGGTACTCCACCCCGTCGTCTGCCACTCTTGGTCATCTACTCCTCCATATCTTCCACCCTGACCTGATGTCCTTCACCACAGTAGCAGACTTAGTCGAGCACCTGCGCTCCTTCAAGGCCCGCTAGCGTGCGGCCTGTACTGAGGCCCAGCTAGCGCTCGGCCCCGCCCCCCCTCTTTGCCAATATCTACTTCCTTGTCACCCGCCTTCATGACCACCTAGCCCCTGCCCGCGACAAGCTCCTCACTCGTCACCTCTCTGAGCTCATCCTTGACCTCTTCTCCACCTCCCTGACTGAGGAAGAGGACCGTCACCGCGCCATCGCTGGTTCCACTGGCGCGCCGGTAGTCCCTATGTTTCAAGGCAGCGCTCCCTTCCAGGTGACTGTCCCTCCCACCTCCGCCTCCGTATCCGAGACTGCAGCGGCTGCCTCTGCCCCCGGCCACTCCTCTAGCGGTAAGGGCAAGGGCAAGGGGGGCAAGGGTCATGGGGGGTCGAGCGCAGCGGATGGACGGGGTGCGGGTGCGGACGGAGAGGGTGGTCAGTCAGAGTCGGGGACTGCGCAGAAGCAGCAGCAGCAGCAGCAGCAGCAGCAGCAGCAGCAGCAACAGCAGCAGCCGTGGGGGCTGGCGGGCCATGGGGGTGGTGGTCGTGGTGGAGGCCGTAGGGGTTGGGCTCCAGGGCAGTCGGTGTTTTGGGTGTTGCGTGACTCTTCTGTGAGCCAGGTTGCTGCTGCTTGTGGAGGCGCGGTGACCTGCACGTACCAGGTGCTGACCGGCCCGCATGCAGGCTATGTGTGCGGGGGCACGGGACACACCACCGCTCGCTGATTCCGCCGCCTGGACGTCCTCTACTGCCGTCACTTCGGCCTGCTGGTGCAGATACCCTCCTGGCATGCCTTGCTTCGTCGTGGGGTTCCCATCTCGATATGCTTCAGATAGATCAGGCATTGTATTCTCTGTATTCCAATGCTTCCAATGTTGCTAGTTCTTATTATCCTTTTATCCCCTCTTTTGCCAGGAACCTAGTGGGTGTCGGTCACCTCCAGGACCGAGGCGTCACCACTACGTTTCCTGGCTGCGAGAGACATGCCTCTTGCACAGACACAGCCACCGGACGCCACTTAGCCACATTTGAGCGTGACCCAGGGTCAGGTCTCTTTACACTGCACACTGAGTCCCCGCCGGCTGCTGCGTCTGCCGAGGTTGCCGCGTCTTGCTCCTGTCGCTAACTAGCCCACCCGAGCCTTCTGTGGCACCACCGCTTTGGTCACCCTGCCCTCCCGTGTCTTACACACATGTCCTAGCACGGTCTAGTCACTGGTCTCCCTGAGTCGCTCCCCGCCCTGGCTATGTCTATAGCGTCACTGTGCACCTCCTGCATCGAGGGCCAAAAGCGTGCCGCCCCTCACTCCTCGTTTCCTCCTACCACAGCTCCGTTACAGACACTGCACATGGACGTCTAGGGCCCTACCTAGTCCATGGTCTTGGTCGGGAGCGCTACTTCCTCGTCGTCGTTGGTGACTTCTCGCGCTTCACCATAGTGTTTCCGTTGGAGAGGAAGGCCGACTTGCCTACCATTCTCCTCCCGTGGCTTCTTGCTGTTCGCACCCACTACTGCCTGCCTGTAGGTCGCTTACACTCTGACCGTGGTGGCGAGTTCGCCTCTGGCACTCTAGGACAGTTCTGTAGTGCGGAAAGCATCCGCCAGACGTACACACTGCCGGACTCCCCACAGCAGAATGGGTTCATTCAGCAACGCATCGGCCTGGTCATGGAGGTAGCTCGCACCTCCATGGTCCACGCCAGTGCACCCTATTTTCTGTGGCCGTTCGCCTTGTGCTAAGCTGCTCACCAGCTTAACCTGGGGCTGCGCTTCCGTTGACCACGGGTTTCACAGACCCTTCTCTGGACCGGGTCTCATGGTGACGCGTCTGTGTTCCACGTCTAAGGCAGCCTTGCTCACGTCCGCGACACTCGCACGGACAAGCTCTCAGCCCGCACCCTTCCTTGTGTCTTCTTGGGGTTTCCGATTGATGCCCCTGACTGGCTGTTCTATCACGCGTCACACCACCGCTTCTACCACTCTCGTAACGTAACCTTCGACGAGACGCTCCCCTACTACCGGCGCTTTCCGCACCGCAGCGCTCCTGTGCCTCATCCTCTCTTCCTCGTCCCTGCTCCTCCTACCGCACCCCTCCCACCCCGCTCGGCCCAGTCAGGTATCTCCCACGCCACTCGATTCCCCTCGGTTGGGCCCGTGGGGGAGTTGGCTGACTCTGGAGGCCCTCCTGCTACCCCTGTGGCACCCCTCCCAGCTTCGATACCCCAAGCTTCCCAGCCGCCTCCCCCCTTGCCTCAGCAGCAGCAGCCGTCGCCGCAGTAGACTCAGCGGCGGCAGCAGCAGCAGCAGCAGGGAGTAGTGGGCTCGGGACTGCTGGTTCTGGGGGTGCTGGCGATGGAGGAGTTGGTGTTGGGAGTGCTGGTGTTGGAGGAGTTGGTGTTGGGAGTGCTGGTGTTGGAGGAGTTGGTGTTGGGAGTGCTGGTCCTGGGGTTGCTGACTCTGGGGGTGCTGATTCAGTGCTGGTGGTAGCGGAGGTGCAGCTAGAGGTCCTGGAGTGGACAAGGAGCAGCAGACATAGTATCAGCAGCAGCCGCAGTCTGCTCTTTGTCTCCTTGGTCTTGCTCCAGGTTCTCCTGCCCGCCCATCAGTCCCTCCTCTGGTGCGTGCTCCTATTTACGACCCGCTGTTCCCTCCCCCGGACTCCTCTCCAACTCGGCTTTCCCCATGCTCTCCTCCATCCTGTGACTTGTCCCCCTGTTCCCCTCGTCCCCAGTCCACATATCTTCCCTACTGGGTCCGTCATCCCTCTGGTGCTCGTCCTGTCTCTCCTCGTGCTAGTGTCCACCCTATGGTCCTCTGTTCGCGTGCTCCTCCAGTCGCAGTCCTTCCGTTGCCTCCCCAGTCGTCACTCCCGTCGTCTCTTGCTCCTCCCTCTGACCTTGCTTGCACTGCTTGTCCAGTCCTCTTGAGAGCGCTCGTCACTGACCGTACTGCTCCTTCTGAGTCTGTCTCCGCGTTTGTCGCTGGTGTTGCCGACATCGCTGCTAGCCACCGCCTTGACTACGCTGCCACTCTGGTCTCTAGTGCCGCCTGTCCTCCGTCCGTTGGGGCTGCACATGCCCTTAACGGTGACGTGCTAGAGGACAGGCAGTTCGAGTTAGCCAACCTTGCTGCCACTGTACCCCATCTCTGCTCCGTGCTTGTATCCCCAGAGGGCGACCCAGACGAACATCCCTGTTCCTCGCTCTTGCGTTGAGGCGGTGTCAGAGCCCTGGGTGTAAGAAATAGAGCTGAAATGATTGATTAGGTAAGAAGCCTGAGGCTCTATAAGTACATGGCAAGGTGAGGGAGAATGGATGAAGGGGGAATCAGAGGGAATCCCCACTGGGATCTCCGGAATCTCCAATTGGGTAATTGGAGTTTGGGGGGATCACCATTGGGTGAGGTTGGAATTTTGTGCGTACACCCCAACCCACTAGAACATTCCTAACCTAAACTATGATATATAAGTACAAATACAAAAGTGGGATTTGCAATCTATTTCTAACACACCCTCATAGACTGCAAACCCGGTCAAGGAGCACATAGCCCCATGGAACAAAGAAGGCGATGGTGGTCAGCCTTGCCGAGAGCCTTGGTAAAGAGGTCAGCGAGGTTGCAATCTGAGGCGATGTACCGTATCGTCAACTGGTCACTCCAAACAAGATCTCGGATGAAGAAATGACGAAGTTAGATGTGCTTGGTGCGAGAGTAGAATACAGGATCCTTGGAGAGGTGAATGGTGTTGGTTAGAGAAGGCTATAAGCAGATGATTCAATGGCTCCTTGGAAATTTCTGCAGCACTTCGTTATGACGCCCAGAAAACTCGCGACCTTCGAATAGCTATATCAAAAACTCCAATCGGTGAAACGATCTGAAAATCGGATATGTTGTAGCTGGCAGCGTCAGCTTTCCACTGAAAGTTGAATCACTCGATTCCGTAGCTTAACGAGTGAGCTATGGCGTTTGGCGCACTGGGGGATAATCTGCCCTAGGAGAAGTTGACAGTCCTCAGAGTCACTATGATTGAAGCTTACAAGCTCAGAGGCATGATAGAAAAGGCATTGAAGCACAGTTGGAAGGTGGGGTAGGAAGGGAAGGATGAAAGGGAAGGACCCTGGAGGCCCATGGTCAAGAACATGACAAGAGTCAAAGTTTTGACTCCCCATCCTCAGGTTCAGCCAGCCTGGCAAGACAAAATTCACACTGTGCCAGGTTGGCCTCCAAACCCCAAATGCTGCAGCTGCAAGGTGGGGACAAAAGTCCCACACATGCTGGTCCCTCCTCGTTATAGGGCTCTCCAACTTTGGTGTAGCAGCTGACAAGGACTTCCAATGAGTTGTAACAAATCCATCAAACATTTCTTCGTAACTTCTTCATATGTGCTCCGATTCCAACAATTCTTGGCTCGTTGGAATGTGCTCGATGTCATGCACAATCCAAGCCCATCTGCACAAGCACAAGATGAACATGCAAAGACATGCAAACCCAACAAACCATACAAACAACGTAGCACACAAAACACATGCAAACGAAATGATGCGAACAGACGACAGGAGGACGTGCAAATGAATATGCACCAACAAATGGCGCTCTGCTTGTCACACTATGAGGTGGGCGACTGCTGGGGGTAGCCTAATTCCGCGAGAAGAAAGGAGAACCAGTGTGCCTCTAGAGCAGCCATTGTGCCAACGTAGAGCTCAGCCTCACAGTACGACAGGGAGACTGCAGAGGACCGAGTAGAACGCCAGCTGATGACTCTGCTACTAAGGGTGATGTAGTACCCTTGGGAGGAGCGTCTGTCAGTCTGGTCATTGGCCCATGAGGAGTCTATGTATCCCTCGAGCTTGACTGGAGAGGTGCCACCGAGAGTGAGGATGTGAGACTTGGTGGCTTGTAGATAGCGGAGGACCCTCTTGGCTGCAAACCAATGCGAGGCAGTATAGCGTCCGGGGGAGACCTACCGAGAGAGGACACAAACTCGGTAAGCCAAGTCTAGTCGAGTGCACATCATGGCGTACATGAGTCAACCAACTAGCTCAGGGTACGGGCCCTTGCAGGCGCCTGGAGAACGCATCGGAGGGGCCGTGAGCTGATGCTGTTGTGGGAGTGGAGTGGAGACATAGTTACTGGAGTCCATGTCAAACCGCTTGAGAAGGTTGTCGATGTAGGACTCCTAGGAGAGGGTGATCGTGCAAGCCTGGCGGTCACGAGTGATCTCCATCCCCAGGTAGTTCTTGAGGTCACCAAGATCCTTCATGCGAAGGGAGGAGCTCAGAGCAGACTGGACAGCTGCCATGTCGGCTGGATCTCTGGCGACTAGAATGAAGTCGTTGACGTAGACGAGGATGTAGAAGGGCTCGGAGGAGTGATGAAAGAAGGGACTGGAACCTGAGGCGGAGGGATGGAAGTCAAGTGCGAGGAGGACTTCCTTCACCTTGTTGTGCCACTCACAAGGAGCCTGCTTGAGGCCATACATTGGGCTCTTCAGCTTCCACACTGTGTTGGAAGGGTAAGTGCCAGGAAACCGAGGTGGGCATTCCATGTGAACATCCTCCTTGAGCTGGCCTTGGAGAAAGGCGAAGGAGGCGTCCATGGACTTGATCTCGAAGTTGCCGCGAGCGGCTATATCAAGAAGAGCGTGCACAGTCGGGAGCTTGGCAATGGGCGAGAAGGTTTCGAAGAAGTTGAGATACTCCTTTTGGGTGAAACCCTTTGCCACGTATCGTGCCTTGAACTGTGGAGCTTCGCCTGGGACTTGTTTGACTCGGAAGATCCATTTTCCGCAGATGATGTTAACACCGGAAGGGGGAGTGACATCGTCAAAGCTGTTCTTGCGAATGAACGCCTCATTTTCCACATCTATTGCTGCCTTCCACTCCTTCTTATAAGGCCTCGAGAGAGCTTCCTCTTTTGTCACAATTGTCTGGTTCTCGCTGAAGTTGAGGGAAGTGCACGGGGGGGGATATGGATGGAGGGGACATCACCCCCGGCAGGAGGAGCCAGAGTGACCGACCACCGGATGGAGGAGGCGGCTGGTCCCCAGGCAAGAGGCGGAGCCGGTCCCTTGGAATGAGTGCAATTAGAGACGAGAGACGAAGGCGGTTGCGGTGGGACCGGAGGGACAGGGCGCCTCCGGTAGGAGACTGGTGAGCCAGGCTCGACGCGCGGGGAAGGCGGAGCAGGAGGAGGTGCTGCTGCGGAGGGTATCAGAGAGGCCGGGTGAGACACGCCGGATGGATAAGGCCTCAGAGAATGAGCAGCGGCCGGAGGTGGGGCATCGAAGTCTGCCCATACGAGCGTCGGGGGAGGTGGAGGAGGCTCGCCCGTGGTCGCAGAATGGAAGGGGTGTGTCTCATCGAAGACGACATCACGGCTGCGAATCAGCTGTCTGGTGATGGGGTTGAGGAATAAGTAGTCTGGGGAGTCGGAGTTGTGCCCCAGGTACATGCAGGTCTGGGTTTTGCGACCAAGCTTTCCACCTTGCTTCCTGCGCATGTGGGGGCTCAGCAATACACACGTGGTACACCCCCAGAAGCATAAAACAGAGCGGAGGGCGTGGCCCCAAGCCAGAGAGCGGTAGGTGTGGTGTCGGGCCGGTGGGGATGGGGATAAAGATTATAGAGGAATGCCGCATGGAAGAGGGCATATCCCCAGAGTGACTGTGATGCGTTGGCATGACTGAGGAGGCAGCGAGCGATCTGAACCAAGGTGTGGTTGCGGCTCTCTGCAATGCCATTCTGCTGCGGGCTTTAGGGGAGGGTAAAGGTTTGCCGAATCCCTTGGGCCGCGAAGAAGTTATCGAGTTTGCCATTGCGAAATTCTCCCCTGCCATCAGAATGGAGGCACTTTAGAGGAGTGCTGAACGTGACCTTAGCGTGGCGCACCCATGCCATGATGAGGTCAGGTGCCTCCGCCTTGGTATGCAGGAGGTGCACGGAAACATACCGCGAGTGAACATCCACTAGTGTAAGAATGTACCGATGACCGCCTCGGGATGTGAATGGAGCTGGGCCCCAGACATCCATGTGCACTAGGTCCAGCGGAGCAGCTGCGACGGATGAGGAGGAAGGGTGCGGCTGCTGCCTGAGCTTGCTTTTGGTGCAGTCCAGGCAGGTGGGTGCAGGTGAGTCTGTTGGTGGACGAAGCGCCGACGGAAGGCCAAGAAGGAGTTTCTTGGAAGCGATGTCAGCAAGCGTACGGAAGTTGGGGTGACCCAAGCGATGGTGGTAGAGGATGGTTGGGTTGGTGAACGCAGTGTGTAGAGCTTGCTACTGTTGAGTGTGAAGCGTGCTAGGAGCTTGTTGGACTTAGGGTCGACGAGGTCACAGTGATCCGAGTGTGCTGGGAAGATCGTGGTGACGCCTGCCCGTTGGAGCTCGTGTTGGGCCACGAGATTGTGGCATAGTGTGGGAACACATATGCCGGTGACACTGCCCGAAGGAAAAGCTGGTCACGGAACTGTGGAGGAGCCCTTGGCGTGTGTTGTAAAACTGGAGTCTGCTCATAGTAGAGGGATTGGTGTCTCGTATGGCTTGAAGGAGTATTCTTCCTTGAGAACTGTGTGAGTGGCCCCATTATCGAGGGTGAACTCTATTGTGGCTGGGGTGCTTTGTGAGTTGGGACACTGCGAAATTGTCTCATTAATTACCGCAGTGCCAGGGAACAACATGTTGAGGTGCACATCAGCAGGGGGAGCTACAGCAGCTTGCACGGATTCCTGCGCTTCGACTTGATTGACCTTGCGAGAAGCACGATTCACCATCCATCTTAGCAACTTCGAGGCGGTCCAATTGATGGCATACCACTCGTCATCCTTCTTCTTGAAGCAGGAGGCGAGGGCGTGGTTGGTGCCGCCACACACCTGGCCGGCATGAGGGTCGTGCTTGATGACGTAGGGACATGGGGGGAAGCGGTTGCGCTGGAATGGTGCCGAAGCGGCATAGGCCTGAGGCACGGGAGCGCGGATTGCATTGGCCTTGGCTTGAGCGCTATTGTCCTTTTCGGAAGAAAGGAGCGTGGATGAGACCTTGGCTAATGTGAGATCCGCAGGAGCAAGGTCCAAGAGCATCTTGCGTGTGACTTGGTATGCCGGAGTGAGGCCGACTTGGAGAGCGGCTGCAGGGGCTTGTTCGGGGCCACGGCTGGCTGGCGGCAACAGCCTGCGTCTAGCTAGCGGCCACTGGCTGGCGGGTGCTGGCTGGCGGGTGCTGGCTGGTGGCTGGTGCGATCGCTGCTGGGCTTGCTGGTGGCGAGCTGATGGGCACTGATGGCGGCAGGCTGGCGGCTAGCGACGAGCAGGCAGGTATTGCTGGCAGCGAGCTGGCAGGTGCTGCTGGCGGCGAGCTGGCAGGCACCGCTGGCGGCTAGATAGCTGGCGAAGCTGGCGGCGAGCGGGTTGATGGGGCTAGCGGCTAGCTGACTAGCGCTGCTGGCGGAGAGCCTGTTGGCTAGCACGCTAGTAGACTGGCCGACGCGCTGGCTGGCAGGCAACGCTGGCGGCAAGCTGGCTGGTGCGCTGGCAGCTCGCTGGATATCGCGCTCGCAGACAAGGGATCTAGCTAGCTCGCCGAGGTTGCTGGTGGGCATGCTGGCTGGCTAGTAATTGAGCTAACAAGCTGGCGGTTAGCTGGCTAGCGAGACACGTGAGAGGCGAGAAGGGGCTTGTGGCGACCAGCAGGTGCAAAATATTGGGCTAAGGGCAAAACGACAGGCTGGCGCAGTTGTCGCTGGCGAGCTAGGGAGCGAGCAAGCGGCTAGCTAACTAGCAAGGGAGGGAGCGAGTTGGCTAGCTGGCTGGCTGGTTGGCGAACAAAAAACGAGCGAGTGCTGGAGGGAGGGGGGGGTGGGGGGGGGGGGGGGGGGGGGTTGGGGGGTGTGCGGGGGAGGGGGGCCTACAAGGGCGAAATCTGAGACCAG